GGCCCGGGGGCGGGGGGCGGGGCTGGTTAGGCGGGAGGATTCTGGAGGACTTGCAGGCCTACTGGATTCAAAAGCCAAGCACAGCGAACGACAACGGAGACTCACTCGGTTGTAAATCCTCATTCAAATACCCCAGTCTGAAACCCTAGGTGGAAATGCACGCTGACGGTCAGGGCGTCGCGAGGGCACTGCCTCTTCTATTTCTTTTCTGTGTCGCAGAGCAAGCGGGGCTATGAGCATGGATGCCACACGCACGGGACCGTCGGTCACGGTTCCACGGTGGAAGGCCAGGATGCCGGGTGGGAATGCAGGCGGACGGCCCTGAACTGCGAGGCTCAGATTCTTCTTCTCTTCCAACAAGGGGATGTTTTAAAAACCTCGTCTCCTAAATTCACCTTTAACCGGCACTGGGGTAGGTATGGTGGCCAGGTTGGGACATTCACCCTGGGGCCCGGCTGGACTTCAGCATGTCTAGATATATCTGGTCAGCGGGCAGACGGGTGGACATGGGAGTTCATTAGCAGGGTAGCCTCAGGCTGGCAGTTCATCCTGGTGCTGGAGGAGGCACTGCCAAGCCCGCCGACTGTCTTGGGTAGTTCTGTCCTGCAGGTCCAGCCGGGCACTCAACGCAGACGGGGCTGCAGGGCAGAGCTGCCCTGTTAGAGGCTCTGAGAAACACAGCAGCTTACATGATGCTGCCAGCAGCCCAACCCCACAGAGGGAAAAAGGCTATCCTCACTTTCTCAGCCACCCCGAAGGGCTGTGGCATGTCGACGCCCCCAGGATCTCCGGGGAACTCCGAGACAGGGGGAGTCGGGAGGTGCGCTGGTGATGCAAATCATGATACTCCACACGTCACGAATGCTCACCCTTCTACCTGCGGATGCCACAGGGCGACGCGAATTAACTCTGAGTTAACGGACATTTTAAACTAGCCAGGCATCCCTGGATCTTTCGGAGGATGGCTCTAGGTCAACTGCGAAGCGGGGTCCATCCCATTCCCCCACCTGTAAAACGGGAGCACACCTGGCCGCTCTGGAGGTTAAATGTACAGCGTTTGGCACACGACTCGGCTGATGGTGGGAGCACCACACCCCTGCGGTGATTTTTGTAAGGCCAGACTGGCCTCGGGGGCCGTCCTTTCTCACCCGCTTTCCCACATCTCTTCCCCACCTTCTAGAAGGTTTCCTTGAGAGCCTAGTTCCATTATGCTTTTTCCACCCTCCTCTCAACAGCGAAGCAGGGGTCACGGATAACCGCCGAGGTGCCCGTCGTGGTGGAAGGCGTGCCGTAAATTCAGAGTAAGGTCTTCCTAATAGGCAGCTTTCCTTTCTGGGTTGTTTTCATTGCCATAACTTGCCACCTGCTCTTAACCGGAGGAGGTTCAGACCAGGGACTGGTGGGTGGGCACGCGAGGGGCGGGGGTAGGCAGGTCGGGGTGGAGGGGATGGTTCGGGGCCCTTCTGCGGAGGCCATACTACCTGTCCTGCTCATTACGCGGGTCCTGCCCCCCATTCCCAAAGGGGCTTTTCCTCGGAGGAGCACAGCGTCAGCGGAAGTGGGGTCTGCAGTCGGCACCACCCCCCGCCCCGTCCCACATGCGCAGGCCGCTCTGAACCACTGAAAAGCCTCCTTAAGGAAGAAGGGCACAACGTTTCTTCCCAGGAATGAATCGAGAACCAGCACTGGATTCGTCACTTCAACCAACCAACCAACCAACCAACCAGCCAGCCGGGACCACCCCGCGTGGAGCACCACGTACAGACACTGCTGTGACGATGAAAACAGCTAACGAAACAGCCCTCTGCTGGAGATGCTGGTGGTGCTCCACTGGGGTGAGTCTGCACCCGCCCCGTCCTCGGGGGCATCTACCAACATCTGCATTCATTTCTGGCTGCCGTGACTTGGGCAGGGGTGGTGACTGGCATCCAGTGGGTAGAGGTCAGGGATGCTGTAGAGGTCAGTGCACAGGACCGCCCCCAACGACAAAGAACGGTTGGTCCAAAATGTCACCTGCACTACTGTTGAGAAACCTGGGATATAGCAAAAACGGTAATGCAGGGCTGAGTTGGTCCTAAGGTCAGGGTGAGGCCGAACGAGGCGCTCGGGCAGGAACAGCCGTACGTGACGGCTGGGAACGAAGGAGCTGCAGAGGCCCAAGGTGAACGTCCTGTCGGCGCGTCACGGCCTCGGTGGAGTTGGCTTTGAGAACGTCCTTTGGGAACCCAATTAATCAAAACCCATTCAAGTGACTCGACCGTGGGTGCTCCCGGGGCCTGGCTTGGGTGCTCCCTTAACAAGAGGTCATTGGCGTTCCTTTTACAGTTCACTAACCAAGAGAAGACGAACAAGAAGGAATTCCGGGAAAAATATAAAAGAAGGTGGTCTCTGAAAGGAAGAGGAAGGCAGGCCAAGGTGAGACGCCCCTCTCCTGGCTGGAGAACTGTCTGTCCAGCTCTACGTCTGTCCAGCTGTTCTGGGAAGAGACCGCACAGAAAAGGCCTTTGCAGGAGTAGCGTCTTGAGGGCACTCACGGATCGTCTTCCAATGGGAAGTTCCAAAAAGCATGGCTTAACTGCCACAGGAAAGTAAAAACGAACAAACAAACAGAAAACGCCTCCCCAAAGAAAACCAAGCCAAAAAAGCCAACTAGAAAAAGTTTCTAAGATCAAAAAGGGGACCACGGAACGTCAACACTGAGAAGCCTGGGGACGGGGACGGATGGTCCAGGACATCGAATTCGGAAGCTGCTGTCCAGAGGAGGGTCAATCCTGAGGGCGGCCGTGGCTTGGACGGCCAGGGACTGTGCCACACGGGGCGGACGCCCTCACTGCTAAAGCCTCCCGCTAGGACCGCCGCCCCGAAGGCTGCGCTAAGGGGCAGTGGCGGGGACCAGCCCAGGCAGGCGCGGCTCAGGGGCAGCACACACAGTGGGAAGGCCCCCCCCCCACCGGACGCCCCTTCCTCCTCTTCCTCCCTCTAAATCTCGATGAACTTTCCCTGATCCCAAAGAGAGAGAGATCGCGCGTTAGCAGATGAAGGCCTTTCTTAAACCTGTTCCCGCAGGCCAAGGGACGGGAGGCTGGGACAGGTGGGGGGCAAAGGGCAAGAACGGAGTCTCCGAGTGCGTCTCAGTGAGGGCGGGACGGAAGCCTGGACGAGCTGGAGGCTGGGCCTGAGACGCGCACAAGGTCCAGGACACGGAAGGGGTTTAAGCCGAGGGAAACCATGCCGAGAAGTCGCTTTTCCCCGACAAGGGGTGGCGGGCGGTGAAGGGACCCGGCTGTTCTCACCACAGGTTCAGTCCTGTGAGAAACCACTAATTTTTCCACCATGGAGGGTCTCTTAATGCTTTAAAAATGAACCCACCGCAACTCTTCGCGAAATCGGAGAAGACCTTGAACTACTTATTTTTTGAGACGGTTGTGTGAACGACTGTTCACCTACTGAGATGGATCCCTGGGAGAAAAGACAAACAATGGCTCCCATAAGCTACTGTGTTTTTAAGGTAAAAAGGACTCTTCCCACCACCTGTGAGCCAACCCTGCTCATAACCATCAGCTTGTGGGCCAGGGGCCTCAGGTGCCGTCCTGGACCCGAAAGTGAGTAAGAGGAGGCAGAGACAGGCTCAGGGGGCACCCAGTGGTACCTGTGAACGTGTGAATGAGCACGTGAGTGAGTGAAAAATCGAGCTGGCCAGATGGCAACGCTCCTCGGGATGAGGTGGCAATGGCCACTGGAAGGGCAGCCTACACCACGGCCTGTGACAACAGGCGTGTTTGGGTTGTCCACGGCCTCAGAGCTGTAGGCCACTTGACAGCACACAGGAGCTAAAGGCAGCATTTACGACTTGAGAGCAAAACTCCTTGGCCGAGCATGCACTGTCTCCAGCTCCAAGGGCCACCTGTGCCTTTCACCAGATGAGGCTGTTGTCATCTGGGATGTAATGCGCCACACAACTGGTGTGGGGCAAAGATGGAGGGGGAGAGGCGGCCGCACCTAACTGGGCCAGCACGTGAGCCCGGACGGTTCTGCGGGCGCTCCCTGAGACCCGACGACGTCCGTGTTTACAGGGCCACAGTAGACACCCAAGGAAAGACGGATGAAGGCTGTCAAAAGCCCAGGGTATGGTTGTGGGTAACTCACTGCACCTCTTTGTAAAAGCAGAAATGGCGATGTGAAAATCCACCTTTCACGGCTGTCGTGAGGATTGGAGGAACGAGTGTGTGTGCAACCCTTTCTAAATGATCAGGAGTGACACTGACCCAAAGGTCCAGCATCAACGGCAGGCTCCCGGCCCGTGAGCAGCGTGCGAGCCCTACGTGAGGCGTGAATGAACGCTGCTGACAACCTGCCTCCCTTCCTGAGCTCCGGGTTCAGCACTGAACTCCGTCCTTGTTCTGACATTCCTACCCATTTGGTAAAAATCATTAATGAATAACATGAAATCGGGCGTGATAACGACGTGACAAGGCACGGACAGATGACAGCCTGGGTGGAATTTAGGATGGCGGCGCTGCCCGCCCAGAGCCCCACGTGACACGTGGGCCGCTTACGACCCTTTGCATGCCGTGTCACGGCCGTGGGGGGCTGGCGGGGGTGGGGCAGAGCCTGGCTGTGGAGGTGGGCTTCTCGGCTCTGACTCTTACCTGGGAGAGGCCACTGAGAGTGAGCCACACCTGTGTTGGTCTCAATTCTGTCCTTTACCTTGGCGTCTCAGTCATGTAGAGTATAACCCACG